AAATATATTTTTCATAATCAATAATAATCAAACAGCTCTACCCAAATCTCTGCTCTGCTTTGATTTCAAATCATTTCATTGCCAAGAAAATATTTAAAAAAAAACTGGTTGTTCATTAAGCAAAAATCGCATGGATTCAAAGGATGTGTGGACTTTTTATGAGTGTCCTTTGGCACAGAATCATCAACAACGATAACAACCACATCAGCAAAAACTTGAGCCGCAGCAACTGGAAAAGCCAAGAGCACGATCAGCCCATCGAAAACTAAGCATTCAAATTTCATGTACAATTCTGGACCATTCTTTCACACACACACACACACACCCAGACAGAACAGAGAACAAACTGGACATTATCTCTGCCGAAAATAATAAATAAAAAGCAGGAAGATATATCTCAAAAGAGCAGAGCATGCGGGCCAAGCAAAAGATTGCGGATCACGGCGACAGCATCTCAGCGCCTCAGCAGAAAATCCACCCCGATGAGTGACCAGCGTCCAGATTGCCAAACTGGTTGACCAAAATAGAATAGGAGTAGCCAAAGGGGTTGTAGTGGCAGCATCTTGGCCGGAATGGATGTCAAAGTTCAACGTCTGATGCGATGCTGTGTCCAGTTTGAAAAACCGGCCTGGCCCTGGATCACAGATCTCTATGGCGCTGTATATGTGTGATTCTGGGCTAAACGTAGGAAAAGAGCAACAAAAATCTGTTGAAATTTTGATGTGAAAGTTCAGGAGATTTTTATAAAAGTTTCATGTCCTGCCACGGATGCTGAGCGTGAGAAAGTTTCCCGAAGAGAACCAGAACAAGAAAAAACAGCAAATCTAAACGAAAACTTGTTTCCGAAAATAAATGTCCTGCATTGCAGTTGCTGCGCCAGCTCAACCCGAAGACAGCGAGCATGCTGAGGCATGGCCCAATGTCTTGGGCCACTTAGCCAGCGATTTATTCATGCTATTTGGCCAGTTGGCTAATTGCTAACCAAATGCCAAAAGACGTCCTCGCCTTAGACGTCTTCCAAACATTAGCTCACCAAATGGCCAACGGCTTTGGCTGTCATTGTTTGCCTCTTAGCTCGCAGCTTGCCCAACACTAATTGTCCTCCAAGGAGCACGCCTGCTTGATGTCCTGGCTGCAGGACGTTGCAGATTGTACGGCGGCCCCCTGTTTGGCGGCCCTATTAGCTTAGGTATTCCATTAGGCGGCATCGATTACTCAGACATGCATTGATTTTTTCACAAGTGACTGCCAATTTCAATGCATAAACGATTAGCTGCAGTCCTTAATGAGCTGAGCCATCAGCTCATGTTTAGCCACCAGGCAGATGCAACATTTCTGCGCTCAACGTTGATACGTGTGTATGTGTGTGTGTGTGTGTGTGAGTGTGTGGAAGTTGGCATCAAAAGGTTAGTTAATGTAACTCTTATGTCATCTTTACTTGCATATATATTCCCATGTCATCTCACATATCCTTTCTACATCTTATGAACTGTGCAGATTGTATTTGTTTTGCCAAGGGCATACGGCTATGAAAGTTTTACGGGCAAGTTTTACAGGTCGATTACTAATAGATCATATAGTATATTTGGTATATTTATATTTATTTATTTACATTACATCATATGAAATTATTTAGGTAGAAGAAATGAAAGGAATTTTATAGAGTGTACTATAATAAGAAATTAATTTCAGAATTCGTATTTAAAAAATAAAATAAATATATTAGAGATAAGATGATGGAAAATGGATATAGTTACTTCTAAAGGTTTTAATTGCTTAGCTGGTTTCTTTACAATGTTGGCAAATGGATAAGGTTACTTTTAAAGGTTTTTATTCCAGATCTGATTTCTTTATAAATCCAAAATAATAACTGCTAAGCAATATATATTAATAAATATATATTGCTATTTATTAATATATATTGCTAATATATTTATTTAAAATTCGTATAAAATAACTTTGAAATATTATTCACAATGATTTGATTTCGAAATGAATAATATCATTGAAATTGACAAATCCGAAAAACTCTTAGACTTTGCATTACAAAATGATGCAAAAACTCAGATAATTGCATAAAGAAAAAAAATAAAGAAAATAAATAAATAAAATTTAGCAACATATTAATTTTGCTAAGAATATTTAATGAATTTTAAGTCAAACAAAATATTTAACGATATTTTATGACCAAAATTAGAAACATTTTATAGAGTCTTGACTTAAGGCACCCTAAAAGAATTGAATTTATATCAGCGCCTATTACACATCACATATTTTATTTCAAACTAAGCTTAAATATGTATAAATTCTCAAGAACAATCAAATTAATTATTAATTTTACACATAAACAGATGTAATGCTCTGAAGCTTTTCTGACTTCTCAGCTCAAAATGAAAGATATCTGACCCAAGCCACCTTCCTCTGGCTAATCTCATCAGAAACAAAAAACCAATGACCGCTGTGGCTTATTTACGACCAAGCTAAATGAACGTTACAAAGATGTTCTTAGATGTTTTTAGACAAATAAAAAAAATAAAGAAAAAAAATCCCAAGCGAACGTTACAAAAACCGGTTGAAGCTGACAAAACTGATGCAATTGATGCTGACATATTTTGGCGGCAGAAAACAACTCGATTTTATGCAAAAACATCCAGTTTTGGTTGCTGCCTTTAAACGGGTCCAGCAATTAAGTTGAACTTCGGCTTGGCCCGCTGCTGAGCTGCAGACAGAAGTCACATAAACATAGGACGAACAGGGCGGACAGGGACGGCGGCTGGGCAGTTGGGCTTTGCCTGAACTGGGACAGTGACAACCAATCAGCAGTCAAGATTTCAATGCAACACACACGCACACAGAGAGCATAATGAAATCAAATAGCCTAACCCTTAAAGAGATAAACCAAGAAAGGCAACTCACCCCAACAAGAAATACAAATGAGTTGCGTCCCAGCAAAAGATGAGCGCAAATATGAAAAATAGTGAAGAATACTTTTTAGCGCTGGTAAAATATACAAATAAGGAGCTCAGCTGAGGCCTGAGAGAACAGATTAATAGAGAAACAGATTAATAGAAAATTAAAATTAGAATTTAATATATAATAACAATCCTTGAAGCATTTAGTAGAATTTTTTCGTTAGTAATTAAATTAACAACAAATTAAGGCTAGTTTAATATAAGAAGAAACAGAAGAGTTGGTTTCCCTCAAATGTCTTTTAAGTTCGCCAGTAAGGCTTAAACGAAGTAAATAAAAACAATATGTCTACGCTTCAACATGTCTAAATTTATTTAGTTTTAAGGCTTCTTAACCAATCTTATGCATTTCGTTTCATTTTAATAATATAAACGATTTTTTTCGCTACATTCAGTTTCCACCAACTATAAAAAAAATCAAATATAAAAAAACTAAAATCAAAAGTTGATTCTGTTGACAGATAATTAAAAAAAAAGTTTTAACCCATAAATGTGACAGATATAAATTGTCTGTAAACCAAATTTAATTGACTATATGAAAACATGAAATGAGTTTAACAAAAAGCGAACGTGAATAATAAATTCATTTTGTAGAACAGAAAAATAAAAGTGATGTAAGTTACTTTGTTGTAACAAATTTTATAAACGAGTTAAAGTTAGTAAAGCATTTACTTAATATCAATTTCCAATCCTTGGTGAATAAATAATAACAAATAATATAAAGTAATACATTTACATAATATAAATTACAAATCTATGCTGAATAAATACAAATTAATATTATACATAAAAGAAAAACAAAACTTGACATAGTAAAATTCAATGAATATTTGAAACATTTCCAAAATTTTCTAAACAGAGCTTTAAAAATTATCCATAAATACAATATAAATACAATTTTAATTTATAAGCACTATAATCTATCATATATATACACTTAACTAGTAAAGAACTTATACTTATCCCTTGAATCAACACACACTACTATTAATACCCCAACATCCTCGTGACTTTCAAAGTAAACAAAACGGGAAAAGAAATGCTAAGCAAGGACAATGCCAGCTTCAAGGCTAACGAAAAGGCGCAACAGGCGTCACATCGTGGGGGTGTGGCAGGGCGGTGAATGGAAATAACATGTGCGGGTGTCTCAAAAGCAAAAAAAAGAGAGAGGGCCTCAAGTATTTGAATGCAAAGAAATATGAGACGCTCGCAGCAAAAAGTATGCTATGAAAAAATGCAAAATATGCTTAGCTAACACGAGGGTGGGTCTTGGAGAGACAGAGAGAGGGAGAGCACACGACACAGCGAGCAATGAGGCGAGAGAGAGAGAGAGCAGGAGTGAGCATTTCTTAAAAAGCGCAAAAGACGTTTCGTATTGAGCGCTCTCACTGGGTTGGCCCATGCCCAGCCTTAGCCTTAGCCTTAGCAATTGCGCAACTGTTGAGGTAGGCTTAAGGGTTAGGCACATACCCTGTACTGCATAGACATGATTACTTGCTGAGCTACTCCCTTTTTCTTGTGTTTTCTTTATTTTGGATGTACCTTCATTAACTTGACTTGGGCAGTTCAAAGATGAGCGGTCAACGGGTGAACCGGTTCGCAGCCTGTCTTCGACTGCTGGACCCGCTGCCGTCTGGTGATCCACTCAGCATCCTCGAGCAACTCGACTGGCCCATCAGCCCATCAGATCAGTTGTGTTTGAAACTTCATTTCGGTCGCGTCGCGCACTTTTTTATTGTTGTTGTTTGTTTTGCTGTTAGAGGACGAGAAATTCGTCGCGTTTTGTTTTGTTTATCTAAATCAATTTCGTTTACATTTAAATTTTCTGTTAATTTTGCATGAATTGTTAAAAACAAATATCGTTTTCTTGGAATTTTTCGTTAAAGTAAGTGAAAAATTGTGACTGTGAAGATCAACTAAATGTAAAGTGTTCAAGAACCTTGAACCTTTACCTTTCTTCAAAAAATTTTGATTTGTTACAAAATTAACACATATTGAAAACCAACTAAATATAAAATATATTTCAAATAAAGAATGTTAAAATGTGATTCAGTGCAGTGAAAGGCCCTAAATAGTTATAGAATATTTTTAAATAACATATATGACTCTTAAAACACTCTATGCTAAAGAATATTTGAGAAAAGGAAAACAAAAAACAAATTTTATGAATTTGACGTCGAACAAATCACAAATATTAAAATTGAATTTTTTTATTGAAAATATTTTAAAATATATTTACAAAGATCACAAAACGCTTAAAGTTTTAATGGAATCATATTTTATATATATTTATATTTAATATATCGATTTAGCGTTGTCCAAATTAAATTCACTTTAAGTTATATATATGTATATATGTATATGTATATTTCTGTTTTTTTATTATCTATGTGTATCGATTCAAGACCTTGCCTTATTTAAATACACATTGAGTCATCAAATAATATGCCTAATCCATATATTTCCGCCTCTTTACAGCTCCATGAAGAAATATATCTAATTTTCTGCTTAACCCAATATTCTAGGAATCCTATCCCAAAATCTACTCAAATATTCTCTGTTCACTCAATGCGCTGCTTTATCGCTTGGACTTTGCCCTGATCAAAAGAGTTTTTTTTGTTTGAGTAGAACGTCCTCAGAGTCTTGTAGCTCCCATGGATCAGTCCAATGGCAAGCATCGTAAGTCGAGTCTCGATCAGGCTTCGTCCGCAGAGTCCTCGAGCTGTGGCCAGAAGCGCAAGCTCTATGCGATAGAGGAGCACGAGGAGCGCTCTGAACGGACGGAGCCGGACGCAGAGACGGAGACGGCGTACGATGCGGATGTGGATGAGGTGGGTGAGCAGCCACCGGAACACCAGCCCCTGTCGCTGGGCAAATTGGCCAGCGAACGGGAGGTGATCTACGAGCTGTTCCAGCCGTGGGCGCTCAAGACCTACGGGGATCAGGCAAAGACCAAGACGATAACGCTGCGCAAGAAGGTGCGCATCCTGAAGGCGCTCGAGGGCAAAGAGCACAGCCGACCAGACAGCTCCAAGTTTCGCTTCTGGGTGAAGACAAAGGGTGAGTCTATGGACTGGAGGAGACTCTTCCAATCCTTATTCTTAACTTCATCTTTCGCTTACTCTCCCGCAGGCTTTACGACCAAGCGTCCAGAGGGCTTTGAGGAAGCGCCTGGCAGTCGACGTCGTTTCGAGCCCTTGTCCAGCACGGCTGTGCTCTCTGACAATCCCGGCGCTGTGGATCTGTTCGCCGCCTCCAAGAGCAAGGACTTCGGTCGTCGCATCTACCGGAAGGTGGCCTGCGTGGAGGAGTTCTTCGACATCATTTACAATGTGCACATGGAGCTGGGCGGACGCAGTGGCATGCACGCGGGACAGAAGCGCACCTATCGCATTGTGAGTGTAGCGTATGAGCCAGAATATAATATTTAGTGTTATTAGTAGTAGTAGTGTTATTAGTAACTAAAGCTGAAACTGAAGTAGAAGTAGGGCATTAGTAATAGCATTAGCATTAGCATTAGAAT